TGGTGCGACGACAGGACCTCATGGACACCCTGCAGGAGGCCAATGTCCCAATTGCGGTGCAGAACTTAGTAGCGTCTTTGCACACAGATAGTCGCTATAAAGTCAGATCTCAGCAACGGACAAGTGAAGTGGAATCGACTACAGGAATCAAACAAGGATGTAAGCTCGCCCCCACTCTCTTCTCGATGCTCACAGGCAAGCTCTTAAAGGAACTCTCTACAGTCGTGGGCAAAGACAGGATGCAGCAATCCCTCACAGGCTATGCCGATGACATGACGATCCATCACCCCATCAATAATTGGGAAGACCTGCTAAAGGCTCACCAAATGATAGCAGAGTTGCTCCGCATTGTCCGAAAGTACGGCTTTAAGGTGAACCCAGAGAAGTGCCACCTGATGGTCAAACTCATAGGTACTGCCTCCTCCAGAGCATACAAACTCTTCAGCAGAGTTCACAAAGATGCACAAGGCAACAAGCATCGGTTATGGAGACTAGGTAGCACGAAAGCCCAGGAGTCATTTCCACAATCTCACTCTTTTAAGTACCTAGGTGCGTACGTCTCTTACGGCAATCAGGAAAAACTGAGCCTCGCACACCGCCTGCACGAAGGCAACGCCAAACTTCAGCAAGTTCGCAGATATGTTCACAACAGGAGACACTCGGGGCCAAAGAGCAGACTCAAGATTTGGTTCTCCACAGTCTGGGCCACTGTCTCAGCAGGCCTTGTAGACATAGGCCTTACGGCAGATACTGCTAAACAGCTGCGAGGATGGTTTGCCAGAAAAATTAGGGCAGTCCTGAACAGACCGGTCCATCTCACAGGAACATCCACCGAGCGCCTATTCGAGGAGTTCTCGCTTAAAGACCCAGTGCAGATCCTGCGAGACAGACAAGCGAACCGAGTCACATCCCTACAAGGACGGATCTGGCAGGCAGGGCAATCCCAGTCTGCACTGCAGAAGGAAGCGACTGAGTCACTGACTCACAAAGACATGTCGTCCTCAGATTCAGACGTGTCGTTAACAGCCCAGGCACTCCAGTATGCTGAAATGGTGCTGCATGAATATGATGCACTGCTGACCGCTTCGAAAGCAACGGCAGAAGAACCGACTCACAAATGCCGGTTATGCGCTTTCAGCTCTAACTCAGAGCAAGGCCTAAAGATCCACGAGGTCAAAAAGCACCGAGAGCAGCTGGACAGATATGTGCCCAAATCATTCCTGCCCGAACACTCCAAAAACGGCCTCCCAACCTGTGCAGCGCGCTCAAAAGACTTTGCATTGTGGAAAGGCCTTAAAGATCATCTTCTATCAGGGGCCTGCCCCAATCCAGACGCCCTGCGAGACTTAGACGCCCGAACCCTTGAACTCCAAACCCAACAAGGCACAACGGAGGTGATGCATGCCTGGTCTAAGGCATACCTAGAGAGCACGAAAGACACACATACGGTCACTCAGCTCGCCAGGCAGCATGATTCCAGACACTTCGTGCAACACTGCGTGCTTTGCGGTTTCTGGACTCCTGATCATACCAAGGTGAAGTCCCACATTCACCAGGAGCACCGCAAGGCTTGGGACGCTCTGCACACCGCAACGGCAGTGCAATGCCGGAAACTCGGGACCGAAATCTTTAAGGGCAGCTCTTGCCCATACTGCAGGAAGCCAGTCACTGACAGGCGCAAACACCCAGAACAATGCGGCGTGCTCTTTCAGATCATCATGGGCGATTCTTTCCTCCAACAACACAGAACAACGACAGGACCGATCCAAGCCTTCTTCACCAAAGCTGCATCACGCCCTAAACCGGAGCAGAAACAACACCTGCTTCAGCGCACAACCCTGTCTACACCTAATAGGCCAACAGGGCAGTTCCAAACTCCTCTCTCCTTCTCATCAAACCGTCCCGACTCGTCACAACCAGTGAGCGACTCTTCTTTCTCTCCTGCCCACCCATTTCCCTCTTCTTCCTCTCCCCTCCCCTCCTCTCCTCCTGCCGCTCTCTCAGTCCTTTCACGGCTCCAGCTGAAGAATACCTCTAACTACTGCTATGTTAATGCCACAATCTTATCTCTGCTGTCGACCTCTATTATTGATCCGAACCTGCGCTCCCTTCAAGCTCTCCACACCCTGCTGATAGGCCCGGAAGGCACAGCAGGTCCCTCCGCCCTAAACGTAGTAAACTCATTCCAGCTCAGGAACTTGCTGCCACGATGGCGCTTCGATGGCACACAACAGGACTCAGCGGAGTTCCTACAGTGCTTACTCACCGCAGCCTCGGACATCCCTCTCACACGCAGATGGGCAACAGTCAACCCAGCATCGGGCAGGCTGGCTGATGAGGGAGGCCCCATCGTAATGCTGCTACAACATTCAACTAGCAGCACGCTGCAGTCTCTGATAGATGCCTGGTCAGTAACCCCTCCTGACTCCGCACTGATGGGGCAGCAGACGCACGCCATCCTTGCAGTAGCCAGATTCACAGGGGCAGGTAAGAACCACCACCCAGTCACTGCTATTAATGGAGATCTCACAATCCCAGTGTTACAGGGTGGAGCTATTAGCAGAGAGCAAGCTTTTGTTCAGTCTTGCATATTCCACATAGGACCCTCCCCACATAGTGGCCACTACCGAACTATATGGAGGTCATCGCCCACCTCGCCCTGGCAGTCGACTGATGACCAGCGCAGCTCTCAGCGTGCTACGGAATCAGACCAGCGGCAAGTAAGACACGGATCTTACCTCTTTTTTCTCACCTTTCGAGCGGAAGAACCTGCATCAGCAACGCTTTAGTGGCCGAATAGCACCAACAGAAGTGAGGAGTCGTAAGAACTCCCCACCTCTCTTGTAGAGTCGTAAGCACTCTTTGCTAGAGCCGTAAGAGCTCCAAACCACTGGAGCGTTGCAGCAGCCTCGGCTTTGCACTGCAGCCAGAGCCTCTCAAACAACTAGAACAACAGACTCAGCTAGAACACAGAGAGCCCGGAGAGCGTCGGCATGCTTAGTCAAGACCGACGGGATGAGCGTCAAGCTGAGAAGCGAGCACGGACGTTTGGGGCGGAACAGCTACCTCGCACAGATGAAGGAGGAGAAATCCATCCACTTTCACCGACAGATCTCACGCAGACTGATGATGCACCAAAGCACGCTGGTGATAAAGTTGGCAGCCTCAGCACCACTAGCGTCAAAGCTACTCGAAGCAACAGCGCAGTGGAGGCGAGAGCATACCCGTGGCAGGCCACATCCTAAGGGGCCAATCTATGTGACAGTAGCCCACCAGCTACTGACAGAACTGCAGGAGTCACAGATGCCAAACGGTGTCAACCAGAATGCCTGGTCAACATTTCTGGACGTCCTCTCTGACCTGACCAAGAAGGCACCACCGAACCCCATTCTCGAACAAGAGCTGGTGCACTGTTCAGCTAGGCTGACAGCAAGAAAAACAGATGTTCTGATAGAATTTCAGCCCCACCTCATGGGCACGCTGCAGAAGCATGCCAGCATCTACGTGAGCGCCATGCAGCTTCAAGGCGGCGAACTGCTCGGCCGGCGACCGCCCGGAACTCTCTCGCGGAAGGCCAGAGGCTTGCCGATCACGTCTGAGCAAGGATGAGCCACCTCATCACAGAAGATCCAGCACCCTCTCAGTCTGACACTGTCAGAGCCACCATGGGACACTGTCCCAGCACGCTGCTTAAAGCACCGCTTGTTGCTCAGCTAAGGCTCCGGCAAGGCCTAAGCTTCTGGCACTGCCAGAGATTGGCAGCCATTTTTTTCAGCCCTTCTTTCCACTTTTAATTCTTTCAACAGACCCAAAGCCATAGCGCGGACATCACAAAATCCCTGTGTGAGTGCACTATGAGCGTCTGTTTGGGATTCCGGAATGCTGGCAATACAGAACCCGCTTCATGTGCAGCATGGCTATTGCAGTTAAGTGCCATTCCCCATTCCTTGAGTTTGCCACCGGAAGAGACAGTGTGGATGCAGCAACTTCTCTCCTAGTCCTCTCCCCTTTTCTCCTTCTTCTCTCCTGCTCTACTGCTCCTCTACGCTTGTTTGCACAGACTCCAGCTGCCCGAGCACAAGGCTCAAACTGCTGCTAGGCACAGCCCGGTATACCCTGCAGACGCTACAACGTGTCATGCCCTTCATTGTGGACGACAACCAATTCCCTCCGGAAAAGTACGAGTACTACTTGCGCCTCTTTCATCAGAACGTTGCAGCTCACAAACGAGAAGCTGAGCAAGCAGCTAAGCCAGCCACTTCCAACCTGGAAAGCGTCGACGACAAGCAATCCAGCTCCACAAAGACCAAGTTGACATCGGACGCCACTGGCTCCCAGCTGACACGCCCGACACGGAAGCCGCCTTCCCCTCCGAAAGCGCGGTCCAAGAAGCAGCCGACAACGCACTGGCGACCGAAATAAGCAATTGACAAGTGAGAGTCGCGGCACTGCCGAGCTCGCTAACACACACTGTGTGAGGCACCACAGCGTTCCTCTTTAATTTGGCCCACGCAGCAAGGCCGAGGCAACTGATTTTTAAGCCTGGCACATTTCGAAGAAAACGAGTCAAAAAAGGGAGCGAGAGAACACTGACACATGTTCTTAGTAAGACATTTGATGTCACTCACCTCTGCCTCCCACCTTTCTTTCTCTCTCCTCTTCCAATTTCTCTCCTGCGATCAATGTGGCAGATCATGTTCAAAAGCCCGGGCACAGCGGCAGGCACATTCTTCTTCAGCTCTTTTGCAGCCAGCAATGGCCATGGCGGGAGCTGAGCAACGCAGCAAGCAATTTCAGCTGCACGAGGAAATGCTGGGCAGGATCACTGCCCTGCACAAAAGCTCCATCGCCAGGGCACTTACGGAGCCTATGGGCCAGCAAATTGGCCATGGCAACAGTGCGTTCGTGACCACGCTGGCCTACCCGACCCCGGAGGGACATCGACTGGTCGTCAAGCGTGCAAAACAGAATCGGGAGGCTGAGATGCAAAAAGAAATTCACCGCCTACGACGTCTCCCGACGATCCCCCTCTTTCAGACCATCCTGCACACTGAAATCGGCGCTGCGGTCATGCTCACATTGTACACCGTTGAGGAGGGCATCAAGCAGCACCTCTACCGGAAAAAAGTCCGAGCAGGATCGACAACCACCTTGCAGACTATCCTCAGCACTGCTGAGGGGGACAAGGATGAGGCACCAGGACACTGTCCTCCTGCCCGAATCCCCTTTTCAGCATGGAATGAAGACGGCACTCCGGTATACCTGCCAAACCCACTCCAGGCGGAGGAGCATCAATGGTATGACAAAATGGACCAGAGACACATGAAAGAGCTCTTCGGCACCATCGCTGAGGACATGCAGTGCGCCCTCTCAGTGCTCCACCAGCACGGCATCATCCATGCGGACATCCACCTGGGCAACATCATGTCGTCGCAGTCAATAAGCCACACCAGCCCACAGTGGGTCCTCATTGACTTGGGCGACAATGCGGCAGAGGCCCTTTACTCAATACAGGAAGGGTACGGGGCGCAAGCCAGAGGCGGAGACCTTCACCGGCCGCCAAGGGTGGACAAGTCGCAATACCATACGGGCAACGGCGACCTCTACCGCCTATCACTGACGCTCAGCAAGCAAATCTTCCCGCTTCTCCTCCACTACACTACAGGTCCAGTGGCTACCATGGGAGCCGACATACCCACGGGAGCGATCCCCAGTGACATTGCTGATGACATGAAACGGTGGGTTACCCAGGCAAAGGCGGAGACACCCCCGGCACACCCCACCTCCATGTGGCCATCGGGATCCTGGCTGAAAAGCGCTAAGAATCTCATGCTGGTCCTCAAGGTCAGCCTGTGGGACAAGGACGGCAACCCGGTCACCTCAACGCTCACGATCCAACCCCCCATGACAGACGCCGAACGCACTCCCCAGGAGTGCCTCAGAAGCAATTTCTACGGCAATGCCAACGGCAGGATGGTAGAGGAGGCTCAGTCTTCCAAGAACAAGGGCACGGGCAGCTGGGAACGCACGGCTATCTCCGCCAGATGGACCCTCATGTGTGACCTGAAGACAACCGGCAAGTCCTACCTGAAGGTCAACCAGATAGTCTACCCGTACAAAATGTACGGAAACAGCAACGGCCGCCTTGTGTTGGAAACAGGGCCACCACCATCAACGACGGCTAGTCCGGTGCCTTCCAATACAGGAGGACAGAAGAGGGTTAGAGACGCTCCAGCCCCATTCGACTACGAGCACTTGTTGATGTCAAGAGGACAAGGCATCTGGGCTGATCCTCCTCCTCGTATCATGTACTTGTTCATGTATGTTTTATAAACTATGTTCGTGCGTCATTTTGGCTCTAGAGTGGTGCTTGCTAGCGAGAAAGTCAAGTTTTTTCCATGGCATGCTTTCTTTATGGGAAGTCTTCTTATCCATGTTTTCCCAAAGTGCTTGGTTTGTGTTTTGGCAACCTTTGCACTCAGCCTAGTTTTCATTTTGAACGATGCTCCAGGGGTGAGCGGGCTCACTCCAAAGTGAGTGCATGGAAGCATCGTGTGCTGGGCTTGACGCCTCTTCATATCAGTTGCAGCTTCAAGTTCACGAGTTGCAGAGCCAGTTGGAAACCCTTCATACACACATTGCAGTCTTAGAAGAGCGTTTGCATCGTATCGAGCAGGAAGATCAGAGGGTTCGTCGGGATCTGCGCGGCCATTCTGGCACCACTAGCATCGGCTGCCTTTCGGTTCGGCTCTTGCACCTTGAGAGTTGCTTCAGCTTTCTTGTGCGTGCAGTTCAGACCAGCTTCCCAAGGCCTCCAGGTTTTTGGCAAAGCTTGATTGAAGACTAGAGGGTTGCAGGATGAAACGCCCGACGGATCCTGATGATAAGCACTTCAGTAAAGCAAAGAGCAAGTGTGCACCACCGCCCCTGGGGGGGCTTGCGCTACCAGTTGACAAACCTAAAGGAACCGCTCCCCCTCTGCCGGCGGCAGGTCTTGCCCAACCTTTGTACTCCCAGGGACGACGCATTGAGCCAGTTCCACGTGCCGGGCAACCTCTGCCCGTTCCTGTTGCGGCATCCAGCAGGAGCAATTGTGATTCCGATGCTGAAGAAGAATCAGCCAGACACTTTGCCAGGTTTCGGCAGTCCTTCGCAGAATCCAACCAACAGCAGCAAAGTACTTCATCGTTTCTCTTGAAAGCTGCCCCGAAGCGAAAGCCAGCAAAGGCGGCCGATCCCCACCATCCCAAGTTCCAGCAGATTGCAGGTTTCTCCCAGATGGCCTTGTCACTGTTTTGGGGTGTGCTTGTTTTTATGGGTGATTGTAGTGGATTGTTCAAGCAGATTCAGTGCTCCGAATTTGCCAGTCATCACACCTCGCGAATTCTTTCCGGGTATGCCACGAACACGGTGCTCCGTTACCTGGCAGCTTGGTCACACTTTGTGGCGAATCTTGAAGGGCTAGGCCTCTGTTTTGGCAATCTTGATAGTGTTATGATGGCAGACATACTAGTCACCATGTCCCTTGAGAAGCATGGAGACCCTACTCTGGGTTCAAGCTGTTGCATGACAATCAAAGCACTTCGTTGGCTATGCAAAGTTGCAGAATGTACAATCTTATCGTGCGCGTATGAAAAAGTGATTGATTCTTTTCTGAAGTCAAAAATTCCTCGTGAACGCCGTGAGAGTTTCCCACTACCCACTTGGGTGCTCCAGCTGTGGGAAAGGCGCATCTTGATGAAGCAGGCATCATTCCTTGAAGTGGTTGTGCTTGGTGGTTTTTTGGTTGCTGCCTGGGGTTCATTGCGATTTGCAGATCTTCAACGTGTGGAGTGGAGTTCATTATCTTTTGACTTACATGTCCTTCGTGGTACGTGTTATGCGACCAAAACATGTCACACCGGGCAGCCCTGGGGCATCCTTGCGTCAGGTATTCTGTCTCGCGGGACGCATTCTTGGGTTAGCAAATACCTGCATGCCCTTGACAGGTTGGCTACAATGCATGTTCGAAACCACCCAGATTCGTGGCTTCCATCGTTCTTGCTTCCAGCAGTGCAAGGCGACAGCTTCATGTTGCCCCTGCAAGCTATGAGCTATGCTGAGGCGCTGAGGTGGTTGAGGCATTTTCTCCTCATGCCTTGGGCTTCCGCACCACCAGAGGTACCGCCCCTCAATTTCACAGTGCATAGTCTCAAAGCCACTATGCTTTCCATGTCCCTTCAAGTCAATGTTGATGAGGTTGATAGGAAACGTCAAGGGCACCACCGCATAAGCAGCTCCGCTCTTTATTCCCGTGATGATATTCATGGCATGCTTCGGTGCCAATCTTGCATTCGTGATAGCATCCGCACAGGCTTCCGTTTTTTGGTCCCCCAGCACAGAGGAGGGCAGCAGCCCTTGACACCAGCGTACATCCCGCCGGAAGCTTTCTCTAAGGACTACGAGTTTGAACCCTTCCAGTGGTTCTCGTTTCAACTTGATGGCAGTGACGATTTGCTTCAAAGCAGTAATGGGAGTTGGGAGGTCGCAGAAAATCAAATAGTCACCCCTGATCCAGATATAGAGGCGCTGGACAAAGATCTCGTGTACCACTCCGACCCAGGATCTTCAGATGAGAGCGAGGAGGAACCTTCCGCACACCCGGCCGAAGAGCACGACTTAGGTGAGCCTGAGGAATTCTTGCTGGGCTCCTGCACCGCGGTGTTGCATGTGCTCTGCCCTTCAGATGCTTTGTCAGGCACTCTTGTCAATGGGACATATATGCGTGCAAAGTGTGGTGCCACTCTTCCTGCCGATCGGCTCATGATCCACACGTCAGTGCCATCTTCGTGTCGGTTGTGCAGACGCAGTGCATGCTTGGCAGCTTTATCTTGTTGTTCCGAGGAGTGAGCTGGAATGTTCGTGTCAGAAAAGTGTGGTTGTTGTTTTGCGTATGCATCAATGAAACAGCAAGCTGTCATGTTGCACATGTCCACCAAGGGTTAGACTGTTGCTATGATCTTGACATGCTTTTGGTGTTTCTGCAGGCAGGCGCTCGATTGGGCTAGCAAATCCCCAAGGAAAGATCTTCAGGAGTGTGGCGTCTTGCAAGAGTTTCACGTGGTATTCAGAAGACACCATGGAAGTTTCGTACATGTCAGATTCGTTGCTTAGCATGCTCATCTAGCTCACGAGAACAAAGCTCTGTCATCCTATCTAAGAATCACATATTGGTCTAGCGCTAAACACCAACATTAGCCCTGCGGTGTCTTACATGTAATGGCTGATTCCGAGTTGGAAAGTGCACTGGCGAAGGAAGGCTTGGCAGCAGAGGTCATCAAAGTGGCCACGGAAGGGGGCTGGACAGCCTCGGCGTTCAAACACGTTGTTGAAACTCAGGCAGAAGTTGAGGGAGCCATCCCCGAGATCTTCCCAGGTCAGATTTTGTCTCGGTTGCAGATAGCCCAGATCAAAGCAGCGTGGGCGGGCATGCAAACATCCAGTTCCTCTAGTGCTCTACCGGCCCCTGTCAACGCAGATCCTACTTTGGAGACATGGGTAGAGAGTTTTGCTCCCAAAATTGCATCCACGAAGCTGTCCGATATGAAGCGCCAATTCCTTGCAAATTACCCAAGTGAGGTCTTGAATCCATCTACTCTACCCTCTTTGAGGCTGATTTCCCTCGCAGCTCATCAAGAGGCACGTTCAGAGTATAAATGGATAGCTTGGAAACATCGCATGACGGAAGAGAAAGCTTCGGAGTTGTTAATTGCCAGACCCCAGAAACAGCCCAAGCTCGAAATGCTGGGTCTTTCCAGCTTGCTCCTTGATGATCCGCCTACAATCGAAGTGACCGATGCCAATATGGGGATCAGTGGCATCCAGCGAATCTTGGCAGTGCATGACGTTGCGTTGGCCATGGTTGGCTCAGCTCACCTTGCCCGCCTTAAAGCCTACAGCTGCAAGTTTGTCCAGCTTGTGTCCCAGCGTTTCGACCCAACATCAGGCCTGCGTGCACCGACAATCCTAGAAGCGCAACAGGCAGATTGTCGGATTTGGCAGAGCATCCATTCTTTAGTCAGTGAGAAAGCTTGGAGCTTGAATGACGCGTTGCATGAGTTCACTGAAATCAGAGGTGAGCTTAGCACCTTGCTGCAGGCTCGTCCGAAAGCCTTGTTCATCCCCCGCGGCCCCGATCTCAAAGGCAAGGGGAAGCAGGTCGGCCAATGGAAAGGCCTCGGCAAGGGCCAGGGCCGGGGCAAGGAAAAGGGCGGTAAGCCCAAGGGCGCTCCAGGGAGACACATCACCTTCGTGAAAGAGATCCAAGTGGGATCTGAGAAGAAAGGGCTGTGTGTCCAGTGGCAGATTGGCCGCTGCACAAGGGGAGGCTCCTGCCCCTTTGTTCATGCATGTGCATACCCCAAGCAGGATGGATCAGCGTGTGGGAGCAAGTCGCACACAGCCTCTCAGCATGAACAGACGCCTCACTGATTCGAACCTACCCTTGTGCCGTGGCAAAGAATCCCGAATTCAGATTTGCAGTCTACAGAGGTATCACCCCCAGATGCCCCGCATCCTTTGCAATCTCACACTGACCCAGTTCAGTCACACCCTTTGTCGCCTTGTATGTCAGTATCACCTCAACAGCCTCTTTCAGCAAAGCACCAGGCAGGTGCAAATCGTGTTGCTGGGTATGATATCCAGCCGGCAGCTCGGCCAGCCGAGCCTGTAAATGTGCTTCCGAAATCGGTCTCCTTGTTGGAGACAAATGCTGGGCCTGTGTCGTCGCCAGCAGTGCAATGTCCTCAGGGCAACATCCCTTCACAACCCGTGTTGGGTGATGTCACGTGCAACATGCCTGGTCGTTCCAGGAATGAGGTAACACCCGGGCAGGTGGGTGTTACACATGTTGCAGAAGAAGGTTCCTCATGCATACATGACTTTAAGTCCTGTCTTCAGGCATTACTTTCTGCCTCTTGGCCTCCACGCGTGCTTCCTGCCAGGAGCGTTACTTCAGCGGCTCCGGGGGAATCGGGATACTGGAACTTTGGGGTGCGCCTAGGGAATCCTTCGGCCCGTTCATCAGTTACGGATGCACTCCCACAACTGTGTGCAAGCCTTAATGGGTTCTTGTGCCAACTGTTCCCAGGTGAGACTTGGAATGCCTTATGTGTCAGCAGGAACATTTTGACGTCCCCGCACAAGGACACAGCAAATTTGCCGGGGTCGTCAAATTTGACAGTGGGGATAGGTTCGTACTCGGATGGAGGCCTTTGGGTCGAGGACCAAGCAGGCACTGTACCGCAGTTCATCCCCAAGCTTGGGGTGACTCTCCCGGGCAAGATCGTCACAACGCATCATGCGCCGTTTAAGTTCCCCGTGCACCTTTGGCACTGCACCCAACCGTGGCTTGGCGATCGATGGGTGCTGACTGCCTTTACCCTCCCAGGCGTGTCAGGTGATACACTTAAGGGCTTGGGATTCCCTTGGCCCCAGCCACGAACCAAGCCCCCAGCTCCGGTTCCTACACCCGAACCCTGCCCCCCCTCTCAGCAGGCAGTTCCTAGCTTGGAGGTTAATTGGGGAAAGCCTTCTCCAAAGGGGTTTGCTCACCACCGCTTGATCCTGCAGCCCCAAATACCTCGCCCACCACCATCCTCGCCTGCCATAGTCCAGTCAGTGCTACAGCAGTCTTCAAGGATCTTCCTGGACATTTGTTCGGGCGCAGAGAAGCCTCTATCTTCAGCGGTGCAGGAGTTAGGCTTCCCAACACTTGCAGTTGATATCCTGTTGGATAGCAGCATGGACATCCTCGATAATACCTTTTTCGAGCAGCTCTTGTTCATCTGTGGCTCAGGTGTTGTGGGGTATTGTGCGGCATCCCCTTGCTGTTCGGAATACTCCCGCCTGAAACTCTTTGGAGGTCCGCCCTTTGCCATCCGCACACCAACCCAGCTAGGGGGCCTGGAGAACCTATCCCCATCAGCCCAGGCTCGTATACAAACAAGTCACGAGATGCTTTTCAGGGCGTGCAAATGTCTTCAAATCGTCCATGGGGCCGGGGGCCATGGCCATTTGGAGCAACCTTCAGGTGCTATGTCCTGGGAAGAATCGTGCGTTCAAGGCTGGTTGCACTGTGGGTCTACAGCCCTCATTGTCCTCCCGGCCTGTGCTTTTGGGGAGAACTGGGCAAAAACTTGGCTGTTTGCATCGAGCTTTCAAGCCCTGTCCGTGATGGGGCAAACGTGTCAACACGGACGCAATGCACATGAGTCCGTGCAGGGACGTGAGAGTGATGGTTCGTTCAAAAGTCGTAAGACCGCTAAGTACCCCCAATGCCTGGCTGAAGAATTCGCGTTGCACATCAGGCCGCTTCTTGCAGGTGCACAGATAGAACACACTCTTGCCACCGCGTCAGCTTTAGTACCTGTCAAGGCCCTGGATGTTGGACCGTGGGTAATCCACGATGGGGCAGGTCGCCACTCTTGTGGGGATTGGAGCACCCCATTGTGCCAGGATAAGCTCAAAAATCTTCGGACATACCTTCTGGGAAAAGTTTGTGACATGCAGGGCCCCAAACGCCTGCTTGCTAAAGCCACTTGGCCCAATCCTGAACCCCTCTTCACCGCTTCGGAGGTGCAAGATGCGCGCACAGACTTCTTCTCCTGCTTAGGTGTGGTAACAGATGCAAATACATGGAAGGTCCGTGAGCATCAACCCTTGCATCTGCATGCGCTTGAGGCACTTGCCTGTTTTTGTGGTGATCCAGATGTGAGTCTTTGCAAATCCCTGTTGCAAGGCGTCCCCACGGGGTACAACAACGATATCCCAGTGTCAAATTGTTTTTGGCCGAATCAAAAAGAGAACCTTGAGGATGTATCATTGTCCATCCACATGCAGAATTGGCGATCGGCCTCAGTGGATTTGTCCGTGACCCAAGCCTTGCTGCAGGAGGAGTTAGATCAGGGTTTTTGCTTCAAGTTTGATGGCGACATTGAGGCAGCTAAGGCAAAGTGGCCGGGTACACTGGCAATAGGAAAGCTCTCCGTGGTCCGTGCGCCCAATCGTTCTGAGAGGTTGGTCTTAGATAATTCAGTGTGTGGCACGAATGCAAGTTGCAGTGTTCCAGAAGTCCAGCATATGCCATCAGTTAGGGACGTGATGCACTGTTTCCCCCTTCGGGGCACCCGCTCGCGGCAAGCTGCCATTTCTCTTGATGTCAAAAGTGCTCACAAAAGGTGTGTTGTCAAGGAGTCCGAGCAGGGTCTCCTAGGTTTCGCTTTTGCAGATTCTCTGTACTTCTATCGCGTGGCCCCATTCGGGGCGGTTTTTGCACAGCATTGGTGGGGGCGCTTAGGCTCCTGCCTGCTTAGGTTGTTGCACATTTTGATTTGGTTCAGCCATGCAGGCCACTTGTTTGTGGACGACTACTTATTCTCTCAGGCGGAAGCCGTTTTGCCAGCAACAGGGGCGATGATCTGCCTCTTCTTTCAGATTCTGGGGGTACCTTTGAGTTGGAAGAAACTTCAGGTTAGTTCTCGAGTTCAATGGATAGGGTGGTGTTTCTGTTACACCTCCGGGGTAGTGTCGCTTGCAGAGGAAAAAAGGTTAAAACTTTTGGGGATGGTTCAAGATCTTCAGCGTAATCCAAAAATTTCCCGTAAGGATTTGGAGAGGTTTGTCGGGCTGGCTCTTTGGGCGGCACACCTTTTCCCGACAATGAAGTCGCTTCTGTACACCTTCTATCATGATCTTTTCAGCCCGGCTGCTACCAACTACTCGGTGGCCCCAGATGTTTGGCCACAGCTTCGTCACCACTTGACGGATTCCCTGCAATTCAAATCGGTTCCTCCAGGTACAGCAATTCCGCTCCACAGCACACTTTTGTCAGTCCGACATCAGGATTTGTCATCTTTGGCTGACTTGGATCGCGTGCGTATTACAGACAGGCGGGTTTGGATGCGCGTCTCAAGTCAGTCCAGTTCGAAGAGAAAGTTGAGCACCGAATCAGTGCGCATTTTGGGTTTGTTCGAACATTGGCTTTTGCATATGTGCCCATTCTGCAGCATGCGCCCCTTAGGCAATGCATCCTTTGAGGCAAGAGCAGATGCAAGTGCGCATGGCTCGATGTGCTGCATTGGTGGCTACGTTTCTCACCCCATGATAGGCCAGCGTTGGTTTCGAGAAAGCTTTTCCTACAGTGCCTTCCGGGCCCTTGAGATTCCAGTGCAAGCAGACATGCAGCTTGATATTGCTTGCTATGAAGCGCTCGCCCAGGGAGCGCTGATCTTGGCAACATCTTCTCTTTTACCTTGCGCCAGAATCCCCTTGCAGCTACGTTCCGCATCAGACAACACAGGTGCAGAGGCAGGTGTGAACGCTTCCTTCTCCACCGCTCGGCCTCTCTGTTTTTTCCTGGAAAGGATTTCTTTGCTGGCAGCTGTACATAGAACAACGCTGGATGTGTCACACATTTCCGGGGAACGCAATGTCAAGGCTGATGCCTTGTCTCGTCCTGCTGAATATGAAGTTCCCCCTGACTGCCTGGAAAAGGACAGAGTGCGGCTGTCACTCGAGGCCCTTTGGTTGCCTCGTCCAAACATTTCGGTTTTCCCCGAAGGGGCTCACCTTCCATGGTCTGTGCGGAGCAGGGGAGTGCCGAACAACCTCACTTAAGCTTGGGGTTTTCTCCGGGGCGAGGTTGCTGGGTAGTTTAATTTGGGGTAACTTGGTCCCACCCATCAACCTGTTGTGTGCATCGTTAGCTGTTTCCTCGAGTGGATGTTGGTGAGGATTTCCGGCACTCCAGAGAAAACAAAGCGTGGAGCGAAGCTCGTAGCCTTTTGAAGCCTCCGGCTATACCGCTAGCAAGCACAACTAGTTTATAGAACGTATCATGTACTTGTTCATGTATGTTTTATAAACTATGTTCGTGCGTCATTTTGGCTCTAGAGTGGTGCTTGCTAGCGAGAAAGTCAAGTTTCCTCACCCACCCACCCCAATTTTTGGGGTTCTCTGTCTCACTGGCACTGGCCAAAAGAACAATCAAGACCTCGTTACAAGAAAGTGGGCTCTCGGGGCGGGCCGTAGCACAGCACCTGTATTGCAGGTAGTCTCACTTGTATGCATCTTTTTTGGAGCAAGCCCATCTGGGCTTCTGGGTTCACACTTGCACAGTCATGTTTCTTGTATGGGCGGCTGAAAAAGCTGTCTGGTGTCAGTTTTCTCCGTACAGGCCACATCTTGCTTTGCAGTATGCTGCGAATGACCGGGGCGAAACTGTGTTAACCTTATTGTTTTTCACCTACCTTTTCTCGTGTTGTCAAAGTGTTGCTTCGGTCTGTCATGGGTGGGGTAACTTGGTCCCACCCATCAACCTGTTGTGTGCATCGTTAGCTGTTTCCTCGAGTGGATGTTGGTGAGGATTTCCGGCACTCCAGAGAAAACAAAGCGTGGAGCGAAGCTCGTAGCCTTTTGAAGCCTCCGGCTATACCGCTAGCAAGCACAACTAGTTTATAGAACCACCGGCGGACGCGAGCGCAAGCTCACCTGCAGCGCCAGACACACCAGAACTTGAGCTTCCACCTCTTCCACTACTACCGACGCACACCGGCTCCATGATGATGAGCAACGCCGACATGGTCATCCTCAGCACCTGGCTGGCGGCGCTACCACCTGAACAGCGTCGCATTCTACAATGCGCGGTGTTCGCCTACTCGCAGGTGTCGCGCTGAGCAGCTCCCACATTCGTTCGCGCCGGAAAAGGCAAGCACTGCTTAGCCGTTCACGGGACACTGTCCAGATCAAAGTACAGACTGCGCTGCAGCCGTACATCAAGTACCTGTACAGACCAGACAGCTGACCTGCCAAGCCGCTGACACAGCTCACGAATCTCACCTTTCACCTTTTCCCGTAATAGCATTCATTCCTGAGACGGAGCCTAGCCCGCCCGGCCATGGCAGCCGCGCCAAGGGCCCCGTCCCCAACGCCAGTGCTGTGTTTGGTGGACAGCACCTTCCAGCACCTCCTCTACAACAACCAGACCAAGTTGCACCAGAGCTATGGCGTGAGGACCCTTGCTTCGGGCTACGCTGTCATATGTCCGGGGGCCACCCTGACCTCGCGCTGCACGTGGCAAGGCAAGACTTGCCCCAGCATCTTGGAGGCCCTGGTGACAGCGGCAGGACAGACCTTGGTAAAATCGGCATATCCGGACGGATCCATCCGACTTCCCAAGGCCTTCATGATGTCGGAGGGGGACAACAAAGCAGCCTGTGAGGGACTGGCGGCCTTCCTGAACAAGCGCCAAAACCATCGGGTTAACATCGGCCTGATACCGCTCGAAAAATCCCTCCGACCGGAAAAGCAGGCAAACTACGACTGGATTGGGCAGTATCGCACAGACTTCCAGCTGCGCTCCCACGAGGTCCCGTTCCACATCATGGACCTCGACAACGAAAACTTCCAGCTCTACACCACCAGATCAGTGCATTTTCGGCCGGAAATAGCGCAGGAGGCAATTTGCCAAGTGGTGGCAGCGGCCCTCCAAGAAATGGATGCGAAGACGACCCCCCAACCAGGAGCACGTCCCAGCATTCACGTCCTGCTATGCTGCTCCTGGAATACCGTGAAGAACACAGTGCACAAGGAAATGCTGGCCACCCGTGCACTGACTCGGGCAGACACCCTCAGTGCACTGCTTGCTGAGGCGGCCCAACATGCAGGAGAAAGCGCTGCGATAGTCTATGCGCTAGGCGGCCACTACCTGACAGCTCAACCTCCTCTTCGAGTCTTCCAGACCTACGTGCACGACTCACAACCTGGTCCTCATGAGATGATGGAGGAATGCTTCCCAAACATCCCGAGGGAATTCTTTGATGACGCCAAGCAGGTCGAGATCATGAAAGAGCTGTCTGGCATGGTAGGGCACTGCCTTTACCACTCACTGACCAACGCAGCGCACCGCGCTGACGTCTGGCGGTACACAGAGCACTGGCTCCGAGGAGGGATGTACATCGACATCAAAACGCGCTTTGTGGTGACGTACCGGACCCTCATCTCCTGCATCATGAATGAGTGGACATCCACGCTCTCAAGGCAGGCACAGCACAAATACGGCTGGATCAACCCAGCCACTGGTCCGCCAGACTACTTCCTCACCGCCATCGGAGCAAAGAAAGACCACATCTTCCAGGGAATCTTGCTGGGACGACGTCGCCACCCATTGATGACGTCCGCACTCCACCTTCTGCAAGGTCCTCTTCCAGGTCATGAAGGAGGACCTTGGTCTTGCGCCCACGGACCAGCTGACCCCCGGATGGCATCTTTGTCCTCGTCTGGGCCCGATCTACCTTCTGCAAGAAGAGATGAGTACAGAACTCCGACAGAACGGTCCACACAGAAATGATGGGCATTTCTTCACAACAAAGACGGGGAAGAGGGTGGCCCTGACTCGATGCTGGCAATGGCGACATGGATGGAAGAACGACCCGGGCACCCAGCAGGCGCAGGAAAATGGCAT